CGAATATTTCAATATTCAGCACATTTTCAGCAATGTAAAACTAAATGTAAACTAAATTATCTAAATGTCATTCTAGATAAAGATGACATTTTTTTTCGTCTAAGATGCAGATAAAGATAATTAATATTTTTATTATCTAGATAAAGATAAGATAACATCAAAGTTTCATCTAGATGATCATCTAGATAATTTTATTTAGATAAGATCCAACACTGGTTGTATTAAACCGCCAAAATAATTATGTAGAATGCTCAAACTGATAAAATGTGAAAATTTTTTTTGTAGCATTACTCATGCTTGAGATTCCTAATTATTTTGATGGACCAACAAAATTATTTTCGGATCTGTATCTAACTGTATCTAAATTTGTAGATTTTTCAGCAAAATTATTCTTTTCGTGTAGACCGATATAGATCTGAAAATAATTAAATTGGACCATCAAGATAATTACGAAGAAAACTCAAAAATTATAATAAAGTATCAAAAGATTTTGACATTCCAGCTTGAGGTCAATATAATTATTTAGATGGTTCAGCATAATTATTTTCAGATCTGTATCTAGATAAATTTTTAGTTATTTCAACAAAATCATTATATATTCGCATGGCATTTTTACATACTTCAGCAAAACTATTATTTCATATATATTTTCCGGACAACAGTTTCTACCCGTTCCTCAGTTACTTTCCCGTCGCGTCGCGCTGTTCCAAGCCAAAAATAACTGGACGATCGAAAATAACCCTCCCCCGCGATTACACGACATTCACCGGACAGGCGAGGCGCGGAAAATCTGCGTTATCGTAACGTTCAACGTAAACGCGGCTCTCGGAAATGGCTGCGTCCGATGATGCGCCACTAAAAGTAGGTTTCCGTGGGATCTCGAGCGTGAACCAGCTGTAGTAGGTGCCCGAGGTGAATTGATTAAAATCGAACGCGCGGCGGCGCGGCGCGGCGCGGCGCACGCTAACAAAGGAGAATTGCGGGCACGGAAAGGGTGAAGAGAATGTGGGTGGACGTGTAGATGGAGCGTAGAATGGGGAATGGGCAAACAGAGCGCAATTAACGTGCAACCATTAAATATGTACGCGCGCGTTGCTACAGCGCGCGCGACGCATGTGCGCAGGTCGGGCTTGCAAATACATCGGGGTATATCGGACACCCTCTTCCGTCCCTTCCACCCTATGTTGCAAGAGAGCGAGCGAGCGAGCGAGCGAAACGGGTCGCGGCGTCTCTTCCCGTGGCCTGTTGGCACAGCCGCTTGATTAGCTCCGCCATATTTACATGTCATTAGCCGATTGTTTGTCCAAGTCGGTAACTCCATCGCTCCTCCCCCTCGCGTCGCCGCAGTTCATTCATTTTTTTCAGCGGGAACTCATCTACGATTCAATGGAAACACCGCACCAAGCGCGCTTCGAAAATCCACTATTGTGAAAAGCGAAATGAGCGTGATGCAAAATCTCGGCGTGATCTATGCGCGAAACGATTTGTTCAATACTAAGTAACGGTAACATTACATAATACAGCCTTTGCTAAAAATATTGGATTATTTTATTCATTTATCACACACACACACATTCATCTATTATATCTTTTCCATTCATCTCTGGAATTCTCTTTTTTACCTCTATGATTACTTATTGATTACCAGTGTTATACATAAGTTTAAAGGATTCTTGAAAGAGAGGATAATTTACAGTAAATGCTTTAAATCAATTTTTGAGCTAAAACTTTAAATAATGATTAACAAAGTGTTTTAAAATATTTTTGGTCAAAGCTGTATTACTTCCCACTTAACAATATAAATGTAATATATTGTAAAATGGGATACCTTTTTAGCCCAATTTAAAAAAAATGGCTAGTTAATTCCAAATTTTAAAAACATCTCTTTAAGACGTTTTGAAGACGTCTTATGTCTCAATTTTGACATACGTGCTGTCAGGAAATTAAGTTATCCCATTTTATAGTAACATACGTACATTATACAGTTACATTTCAGGTTACCGAAATTTAATTTAATTTAAGCCGGTTATTTCAAAATTACATTTATATGGAATATTTACATATTGTTTATGTTAAATTTACATAAATCTTTTTCACGAAGACAATACAATATAAAATATATAAATTATTATGAACTAAATAATACAATTGAAAGAGAAGTAATCAAGTTTTATGATTGTTAATACATCTGATTTTACTAACAAATAAAAATATATAAATCGAGATAGAAACTTCAATCTAATGCAATGACAAAGAACATAGATACTTCGATGGTTCATAGATTGTTTACATAGATGACACGTAAAACATAGTTTATATAGCTTACATTGTATACACGTAGATGTAAATTATATTTTACGTGTAAACGACAACCCTAGTTACATTGAGCATTGGATGATTTTTATTTGGTGACATAAGTCGATACAAACGTTTTATATTTGTTATTCATGAAATGCAAAAAAAGATTGAACGACGTTTGCATCGACTTGTGTTATTGACTACGTTCAAAGAAAACTAATCAGTTAGTGCTTAGTTCTTTAATATGATCGGTTCCTGCTTTTAATTTTTTGCTGGATCTAAGTGTAGAAACCAATCATATTAACGAATCAGTAAGCGCTAACTGATCAGTTTTCTATGCTGAATGCAGCCATTAAATGGAAAGCACTTATTATTGAATAGAAAATTTATGTAATGTTACTGTTACGTTGTGTTTATTATAGCGGGGAAATTCCTCGCAATTGGTAAAACCAGTTCGGGGTAGGTCGAGGATCACAGCGAACTGAAACATATCCACATCATGTTACTTAAGTTGTCTTTTATTTCATAAAAAATACGAATCTCTCGATCTCAATATTTCGTTGCCTACGCTGCATATAACATTTCTTTTTCTCCTCCTTTCTTCTTCTTTCTCTTATACATTAAGTGTACACAAAAAAAAAACGACGGGCAAGCCGACGAATACTAACGTTAAAACGAAATAAATAAACGAATAAATCGGTTCGCGTAATTCAATCATGAAAAAAAATATAATACTAACGTCGTCAATGTTTCTCGCAAAAGTAATTATATTTTTCGAATAATTCATCTCGGTCCTCCTTGCATACAAAATGCTGCCCAGACAGCACGCATGTCTAAAAAACATCTTTATGACATCTTTTAGGCCGGTATTCTTATTTTAAGATCTTAAGTTTTAAATGCTAATACAACTCTGTGATTGGCTTATGACGTTTTAAGACTGTACTTAAAATGACCTTAAATATAAGAACCGACAATGAATACTGGCCTTAAAAGTTTTTATATATTCGTATTTAAAAGATATGTCATAACTAAAAGTCTCCATAACTTATGCTGTCTGGGTGCAAGAGATCACAGCTCTGCTCTTTATCCAGACGGAAAACAATTATAAACAAATTAAAATCAACTAACATCAAATACCGTCGAAGTTCGCATCGACGAAACATCATTTAACTGTTTACGAATACACTCATACATACATACGTATACACACTTATACACTTATACACATATACACTTATACACGTATACACACAATTCTTTTTTTCTCTTCACAAACTACCTTCGGCAAGAATACAACTTTCGTGAGAAATGTGACGATCGGTTTTATCGCTCACCGTTTTATGGAACTTATAGACGATGGCTCTTAATATCTAAACGCTTTCGATTATGGTAACGAGAATTTGATTAATCGTATTACTATGAGATTGCTCTCATTCTCCGATTGCCGGCCGTCAATTGCAGACGCATTCGCGATCCGCATTTTTTCACCGGGATGCATAATCAGCGATAGCCGTTTTTTATAAAGTACCACTTTACATTACTATTAAGGCAGTATGGTAATGTCACTTGATTTACGTAATTAAAGTTAGGCTTCCTTCCATGCCCTTCTCTCTCGAGATATAATCGCGCGACATCTCGCGGATATGTGCTTTATCTAGCCGGGGATATACGAGATTCCTTCAGAGATCGTGGTGCGCAAACGGATGAGGGATTCTCTCAAAAAAGCGAGGGAATGCAGAAATGAAACTGTTTCTGAGAATCGACTTGGAAAATTTGCTTGGCCTAGATTCATCATGCATTCTATAAATCAATTGATTTCTATTCGTATCTATAAAGAATCGTATAATTTTCTACTATTCGTCTTGCTTGCAAGGATCAACTTTGATAAAACAAAACTGTCGAACCGAGAGAAATCGTCTTAACATCATCTAATGTGTATAAACATATGGTACAAATGTGAAACTAGTAATTTCTTTTTCTGGTTACTCCACGATTTCGGACGCACCCTTCTATCCATACATACTAGGTAAATAAATTCTGTTACGAAAGGAATACCTCACAATAACGCATTTTCCTCTTTGCGTTTCAACATTCATATGAGAAAAAAATCAGCTTTATGAAAAGAATTACGTATGTACTCCGATTCTGTAACTCTTAACAACAATGTCAATATCGTTATATTGTTACAAAATCAGAGTAAGACTATCATCTATTTTAATATTTCGATCGTACGAAACCATCGAGCGAGTTCTAAAACGATCAGAAAAGGAAAAATGATTAATACAATTATAGTAATGACATCTTCACCCTACGCGTCGTAGGCCGCGATATAGGGAGGTGCGTCGCTGATGCTTCGCATAAAAATTTTCAGGATGTCGCTGAACTATCATTAAAATATTTCTAGGGCAAAACGCGATCGTATACTAATATAATTGCTATGATTCGACGATTGATCTGCGCGTCGCTTTCTTCTGCAAAAAAAAAACTGCGAACGCGCCGTCGAGAGATCGCAAGTTTCCGAGCGCAATTAGGAGTAACGATGAGCACGATTGACAATGTTAAGGCTCATGTTTTTCCCTTGCAGTATTAATTTATCTTTAGTCTTTCTCGTACTGCTAACATTCAATAGCATAAATTAATAATATGTGTATATATTTTATATTTTTTTAAGATCAATTGTCGAAAAAATTAATTTTCGCTGAAGATGTTAAAACAAAAAATTCTTAGAATATTTGTGTGCCAATTTACATTATTGAAATGAGTGGCGATAGATGAAGGAATTAATTTACTTCATAAAGCAAGAAAAAATTTCACATGGTTCTTACTGTTGAATCGTGCTCAAAATTCAACATAGAACCAGGAGTCTTAACGTCAATATAATTATCCTAACTATGTCTAACCAGTGGCGGCGTCAGTCTCACTCTCCGTCACCGATTCATCGCTGACTTGTTCCTCGTCCTTTCCCTCCGGAGAAATGACGAAGCCCATCTTAGCCAGAATGTTAAAATCGTCTGAGAGATCATTCACATGCATCGCTTGCTCTGGGGTGTCGCTATGACCACTGCTACTACTGTTGCTATTGCTGTTGCTGTTGTTGTTGCTGCTGCTGCTGCTGCTGCTGCTGCTACTGCTGCTGCTGCTGCTACTGCTGCTATTACTTCTGCTTCTCAATTGCCTACCACTGGGTAAGTCTTGTCTCTCGGTGTCAGCCTTATCGTCAGGAACTGAGACCTCGTTACAAAGCTCTGAAAGATTACTTTGTGCAATGCGCAATGCCGCTGCCGCCGCCGCTATTGTTGGTCGATCGTCTTCGCGTTCCACCGAATGTCGTAGAGTTACCGACGATCGCGGGTTAATACGAACGAGCTCGTAGCCGGCATAATCGTTAGATTGCGTCAAGGCTGCGTCCGAAAGACGACGGATGGATACCTTATTTGCGACGATGTCACAAGCGTTTTCTGAGTCAGCGGCTAACCAAGGAACAGGAACGATCAAACGATCCTCATCCAAAACGTCGCATGACGTCAATAGTGGAGCTTCAACAACGGCACCATCGTTATCGTACTGTTCGTCGCGCAGACTGTCCTCTCGGGCAATTTCGTCGTCGTCATTATCACTGATCTCATCCTTGTGTGCTAGCTTTGTTCTAAATGGCGCTGATATATGCGCTTCTTCCAATTTCACGTGCTCGAAGAACCGAGTGAGAGCGCGCCGCTGGAGCTGGACTGCTGCTGGCTTGCTATCTGGTTGCTTGTGTAGCTCCAGTTCATGTTCTTCACGGCAGAGCTGCTGTCGCAGGAGCGGACAGTCTCGGTCGTTTGGGCTTCGTGACTCACATGCACGACTGGTGACGGTATGGGACTTATTATGGCCTGGGAACAGTGAGTGGATGAAATTTCTTGATCGGTACTTCTCACGACAGAGATTCGCCGTTGCTGTAGCTTTCTCCGCAGATCCAGCTGATCTTGGCCGTTGCTGCTCGGTGACACTATTCTCGGCGTCGCCGTAAGAAGACAGTAAGATTTCTGTGGCTGATCTGGCTGACTGATTAACACAGAGTTTGCCGCGTGTAAGTTTGGCCCAAGGCTTCCTACCATTGAGGGTTGCTCGGTCCAGCTGATGGTCGTTTGAGATGGAGTGAAGAGAATTTGACAATTTTGATATGGTGACATGGAGTGGGATTGCACGATTGGTTTGTTTCTTATTGTTGTCACGATCGTAGAACATGGAATGGGTGACGACGGGTTGGAGCACAGCGCTCTGAATGGTAGTGCTGCAACTGGTCGGCAATTGGTAGTTGAAAACTGCGGAGTGATTTTGGTCTTCGGTTTCACCGCCAGGAGACTGATTGGACCTTCCAATCGACTCGGCGATTTTCTTGACGATGAGGTATGATTGATGCTTTTCTGGCTGGATGGTACTGGGCAATTGGTAGGAGTGGGACACCTGGTCTTCTTGGACGTAGGCGATGCTTGGTCGTGAGTGATGACTGATGACGTGATGGTTACGATGTGCGGTGTCTTGTACTCGGTATTCAGTATCAAAGAATTTGCTGTCTTCTGATTGGTTGACGTTTGTGGCGGAGATATTGTTGGTGGTAATTGGGATGAGGAAGGTTGAGGCAGGCAGCTGGTTGACGCCGAAGACAGTGGGGAGGACGTGTTTGCTCTGAGTTGCATTAACTTTATAAAGTCCACCAGACGCTTTATAGATTTCTGAGTCTTCTCTTGCTTGCCCAATAAATCCTGATGCATTTGCTGTTGTACCTATTGCAAAGAAGACATAAATATTTTTAATATTTTATTGAGAAAAAGCTTCAGATGTAGCGTGAGCTTTTGTTACTAACAAGGAAATGTATGCAAATATCCTCTTCGATTTTATCGTTATATGTATATAATATGTTATAAATGGCGAATTGTAATGAAAAGAAAGTTGTCTAACACGTGGTCTTCATTTGTATAAGAAGTAAATGTAATTTCGTAAATATAACAATAACAATAATATTGTTATTAATCATTAAATATTTTTTTAGTTTTGCAAAATTTTGAATTTTAAAAATAATTAAAGCAGTATAGAAATATCTTGAAAAATAAGACACCTTTAAAAAAATCTAAATGCAACAAAAAGTATGTATCAAATACAGTTCGTATCTCTGTGAAATATTTAGGACTCTTTCATCAACTCCGATTAACATTAATCGATGATTAACTCAATCATTACGATTGCCAACGTGAAAACTGAACATAAAGTACATATTATGGAATTATTTAAAATGGATTCCGATCAGAATTATTTAGTTATTCCCTAGATTTCTATTGTGTTTCTAGAGAAAACGAAATAATTCTGATTGGAATCCATTCCGACTTGTTTCATGGTAGGTGCCCAGAAAAGTTTGTCTCCGAAAAAGAAGAGAGAGGAGAAATTCTGATTCATTGAACTGTTATTGACACTGTAAGTTAATTATCGATTAACTTAACCAAAAGTTGATAAAAGGAACTTTTATGTTCGTTTTTACCAATGTAGATTACTTAACTTAGTTAACTTCAATCTTGGTTTAACTTACTTTTTTTATCTTTTTCTAGTTCTAAGAATTAAAAAGAGTAAAGAGTAAGTTAAATTAAGATTAAAATTAATTTACATTGGTAGAAATGGGCATTGCATATATATTTCACATTTTCGTTATTTACTTGTAATTCGAAATTTAACTTGGAGAAAATGGTTTCAAACCATTTTAAATAAATAAAAAGTTTTTTAACATGCCTTTGGACACAAATTATATAAAAATTGAAGATGGACACTTGCATATGTTTCCATCTAGAGGCATGTTCGGAGTTCCACTTGAGTGCTCCCTAGATGTCATGTCATCCTTGTTGTATACCAGACGTTAAACAAGGATGACCGAGGAGCGCCCAGGTGGGAATCAGAACATACCTCAAAATGGCTTACCATTATAGTAACTTTTATCGTATATTCACTATACGAAAAGCAACTATAATTTACTTGCCAAAAATTTTCGCTGTATAAAAGAGCTAAATAATAGAAATGTTTAATGTCATGCATTTCTTAAGTCTACGTGCGTTTTTCCGTCTATGTCGCATGTGTGCGAGCTAGTAAATTACTAGGAAGATACATTACATAGTTATCTAACATAATTATCTAACATAGAAACAGCTAATAATGTATTTCTAGTTTGCATGCGATCTAGTTCGAAAAAAATATGACATAGATTTAAAAAAAGCTATGTGACAAAAACCACGTGATAAAAAAACCACATGATTTTAATAAATCTATTTGTAAAAATTAATTAATATGATGCAATAAAGTTTAAACGCATTTTTAAATTTTCCATAAAAAAGGTAATATTTTTTTATGTCAATATCGATAGCTCGTCACAATCGCAAAAAGATTAATTCATGTGCACATATATAATTGGCTCTTCTTTTCTTATGTGAATTTTTTTGGCAAGGTAAATATTGAAATGTATGAATATCTAGAAAACGGCTATATTATCATTAAATAAAAAATAATACAAAAATATCACACATGCATATCACATATGACATATCGCTCTTAGGATACTATTTCATTTGTCGTACGATAAATTTTTCAAACGTGTTTATTGACTACAGGCTAGAGAATTTCTAGGAAGTCTCGAGAAATTCTTCTAGTACCCTAAAAGCATTTTAATAAAATTTTCGAAATTTAATATTTTATATACAATAACATACATGTGACTTTTAAATGATATTTGAAAATGATATTTCTGCATAATCGATAAACAAATCTAAATATTACACATAAGATTCCTATTTGTTATCAATAATATGAAAACAAAGTGAAAATTATATTTGAACACAATCTGGCGCTCTATATTTTTACCAATATAGTGAGCAAATCACATCTAGATCATTAAAGCATAAAGAAATGCATGATTAAAGAAATGAAGTTGCCTTAATATTCATGAAAAGAATGATCAATAAAATAAACTATCCAAGTCGATTCTTAATCAAATTAGTGCATCTAAGAATATATTGTGAAACGGTAAAAAATATTAATTGTGTATATATACATATATATATATATACATATATATATTTTTTACGCAATAAACATAAGAGATCATTTTTCATATTTACAGAAATATCTTGGACAACAGAATCGACTTGCCCCCGCATCACATGAACGAAAAAAAATATAACGAAAAAACGCAGAGATCTTGCAGGTTCTTTTGGATGAAAAAACAAAAGGACGAAAATCACATTTACAATAATATTCGATCAACTCAAGAGCATTCCAAATAAAAGTGAATTTTATAATTTGTCTCTATGCAGGCCACAGGACGAACCTGGAATGATTGGCCAAGTAGTTGTGAGCGTTTTTCCAACTCGTAAACCTGCAATCTCAGATCCGAGTTTCGCTCGAGCAGGTCATATCTTTCTCTCTCTTTTTCCTCTGCAAGATATTTTGCGTTCAATATATAGGTTGTTTTTTTTTTGCCCTATCGTGGACGATCGACCAAAAAGTTCTTCTTAATTTCAAATTCTTCGGCCGTAATCGAGAAGCCGGTCTCACACGCGGACACTTCTTCCGGCAGGTTGCCTCTCTCGTTTATTCAGTGCGTGCGTGCTTACACTCAATTAAGTCTGCGGCAACGCTGCGATACCTCGTTGTATGTTAAATCTAGAAGTTATGGACTCATGTTATATAATTCCTATGTTTATTTAAAATAATGTGCTTTGCGCCGATTTACTGGTCCTTCATGATTTTATCTCGATCAATATCATCTCTTGCCGTTACTCTACAATTTATTAATTGAAAAGGCAGCAAAAAAATTGCCGGTTTTTCTTTATAATCAGAAAATCAATAATTCCCGGCCGACTTACTGCCGCAAAATGAGTTAAGCCTACCGCGAACTTTTCACAACTAAAGTTGTAGGAATAAGAACTTTTTTGTCAATCACACGCTTAGTGCTATTAAAGGAGGATTTCTTCTTTCAAGAAATCGAGGACGATTTACCGAATTTTTCGTCCTTTTTGTAATGAGATCTGTTCTCGCCTTCCACTTGTTCTTCCTCTTCTTCATTCTTTTCGATGTTTTCTTCCTCCTCTACTGCTGGAACACATTTTGGACAGGTCCTAGATGGAGGCGCTGGTCGAGTATGACACGAAACATGATAGTTACTTGAGCAATTCTTGCATGTCGTTAATGAACCTGCAAATTAACAAAATCATGCGTTAAATATATATGCATGTATGTATTTGCAGAACTTTTTAATAAAATTGTAAGGGAATCAACAATATTTCTAACATTTATCATATTTTATCATATTTTTTAACATTTGTCATATTTTTACTCACCTGGATTTTCACAACAGATGCACACGATGGAGTCACTCCCAATCCTTTCGATGGTCAAGCTAGACGGTAATCCGGGTATGTGAACAGCCTTACTACCTACCGACTGAACAGATTTGGCACTAGATACGGACAATCGCGTTTGATTGTCTTCTACTTTGCTTTTATTCACGAAGACTTTGCTCTCCGCGTTTCTGAGGATATTTGGCCTGGTAGTAGATTTTTGGACTGGGACTAACGGCTTCGTTTGTGCCGGTGGCGAGGTAGATTTGGTTGGCTGAGTTTTGTTAGGTGGTGACGACGAACCATTCATACGTGCAGTCGTCTGCCGGGTGTGAGGTGGATTTTCAGCGAAATAGGAATACCTCTTTCGTTTCTAAAATACAAACGTCAAAATATCAGTCGTTAAATAAAACTCGACAATATGATGTCAAATTGTAGAAAAGGAACCCATCTTAAATTTATTTTTTAAATACGTAGATAGCTCAATTTATCTTTGTGTGTTATGTTTCCACAAAAACCATGCTAGTCTACTGTTCAAAGTAAGTATTTATATGTATAAATAAATAGATGGGGATGATGTGTGGCTTCGTAAAGATGGACGATTCCAAACGATACGTCCAATTCACGCCAATATTGGCGAATACGCTGGAAACCCATGCTGGGTCAATATTGGAAAAGATGGATAGTGAAGAAGAGATCATTTTGGCTGTCGCAAAAACTGCCAGTTATTTCTTGTGCACAATTTTTATATATTGATAAAAGAAAAAAGCAACACAAAATGAAATGAATAATATTTTTAAATAGAAGTTTTTTTAAAATTCTGTATATATGTTGTCATTAAAGATAATTTTTTGCTTTTCTAAAATCTCAATTAAATAATCTGCGTTGAGCTTTTTTTGAATATTGATTCAAACATCACAACATTACTACGATTTTTGTATTTTAGATGTCTTGTGAATTCCAAATTTCAGGAAATTTCTCATATAAATTTACAAATTCAAGAATTAGGTTATTGCTCCAACCGAGCCTATGACCGATATTCATAGTCTGTTCTCATATTCAAGATCGTCTTGAACCAAATATAGGACCGCATTAGCATCTAAAGACATTTTTAAGACGGTCTTGAAATAAGACCCGACTATGAATACCGGCCATAGATTTCATATATTTTTTAAAGTAAAAAATAATACTTTAATTTTTTTACGTTATATGTATAATATTATATTGCAAAAAAAATATATTATTATATTGAACTTAATCGAACTTGATCAACGTAGGAGGCCAATACCTTTTTTCTTTAATATGACCTTAGTAACAAACGTTGATTTTAATCAACCATATAACAATCAATGTCACATTGCTCAATATTACTTCCACCATGTAAACCGCCTTAAGCGCGGTTAATTAATTGTCAACGAGTTCTGGATTTGATTCTAATTCTTGTCCCATGTGTGTCTCAATTTTATAAGAAGTTGATTGGAGAGTTGAAAGATATATAAGATTGGATGGTTACGTTTTTCGGAAATCCATTTTTACGTACAAAAAATAAATAAATAAAAGTATTAACATATATTACTTACAGATGGTTGCTCGAGCATAGAATATACGAAATGCGGATTCGCTGTGCTACGACGTTTTCTTTCCACTCTCCTATTCTGCAGCTCGATGAATTTGGATTTGGTAATAAGCCCGAGGCAATTCAGATAGTAGCACTTTTCGGCTGAATGTGTGAGTTCAATGTATTCCTTTTGCACTTCCTTCTTTCGCATCTCTTTCTTTTGCACCTCCTTCTTTTGCATCTCTTCCTTTTGCATCTCTTTCTTTTGCATTTCCTTCCTTTGCATCTCCTTCTTTTGCATCTCTTCCTTTTGCATCTCCTTTTTTTGCACCTCCTCCTTTTGTACCTCCTTCTTTTGCACCTCCTCCTTTTGCATCTCCTTATTTTGCACTTCTTCCTTTGGCATTTCCTTTTTGTGCGCTTCCTCCTTTTGCATTTCTTCCTTTTGCACTTCTTTCTTTTGCACCTCCTTCCTTTGCACCTCCTTCTTTTGCATCTCTTCCTTTTGCATCTCCTTCTTTTGCACCTCTTCTTTTTGCACCTCTTTCTTCTTCTGCATCTCCTCCTTTTGCATCTCTTTTTTTTGCACCTCCTTCTTTTGCACCTCCTTCGTTTGCACTTCCTTCATTTGTACCTCCTTCATTTGCACCTCCTTCATTTGCACCTCCTTCATTTGCACCTCCTTCATTTGCACCTCCTTTATTTGCACCTCTTTCATTTGCACCTCCTTCATTTGCACCTCCTTCATTTGCACTTCTTTCGTTTGCACCTCCTTCTTTTGCACCTTCTCCTTTTGTACCTCCTTCTTCTGCACATCTTTCATTTGCACGTCCTTCTTTTGTACCTCCTTCTTTTGCACGTCTTTCATTTGCACCTCCTTCATTTGCACCTCCTTCATTTGCACCTCCTTCTTTTGCACTTTCTCCTTTTGTACCTCCTTCTTTTGCATGTCTTTCATTTGCACCTCTTTCATTTGTATCTCCTCCTTTTGCACATTTTCTTGCATGATGTCAGAATTTTCGTCCAATGGCACCTCAACGACGTCATCCTCGCCGGAAACAGTTTCCACCGAGCTGAGACGTAATCTGTAAAGAAACTTTCAATTCAAAAAATTCCAATATCTTTGTTGCACATGCTTCAAAGATGGACTTTCATATAAGATAACTTTACATGATCCTAAACGAATTTCAATCTATCATAATTAATCCTATATTATTCGCGTGGACTGTTTATCACACTCCAACACTATATCTCGATTTTCATTGTTCTCTATGATGATTTCCTTGGTAAAAATTTTCTCAAAATTTTTATACAAGTTGAAACGCTTCAAAAATACTGAGAAAATCTACATTTTAAAATGTTTCATATATGTGAATTCTGAAATATTCTAAGATTTCTATAATTTCTGACAAAATATCTTAAATTTTTTTAGATTTTATCAGAAGATTTCATCAGAAATTATAGAATTAAAAATCTTAAAAGTTTAAAAATTTCAGAATTCATATAGAAAAATTATAAAAAAGATGAATAAACTTTATTCAGAACTTCTAAAAAGTGTTCCAATTTGTATAAAAAATTTGAATTTTTCTAAAGTTATAAAGTTATTAAAAAATTCTGAAAGTTATATCAAAATTTTGAAAATTATATGAAAATTTGAAGAAAATTTTCATCAGAGTTCCAATTAATAAAGATTGTGATAATATTACATTCTTTAGATAAAGACAAAAATTTTTTTGTGAAATAATCTGTAAAATAGTTTGCGCTAAATACAATAATGTATATAAATAGCATTCATGTATTTAGGAAATTTATAAGGCGTATCTTGGATACTCCTCGTAAATGATGAAAGATTAAATGGGACTTCTTAATCAATTTACTGTTTCTTTAAGACACACAAGCTTACTTTGCACAATCGTTATCTCGTGGGTGCGAATGATGAACATCGCCATTTCTAACAACTTTTTCATAATTCTCCTTCGAAGGCTTCGTTCCGAAACCATTAGCGGTCGCTTCATGCTTCGTTTCATTATTGTTCGTAATGTGATTGTTGTTGTTCAGTCCGAGGAGAAACGGTATAGAAACTTTCGATCCGTTCGCGTTGTCTGCCTTGAACGCGTCTACCTCTTTGCGCAGCCGCTGCACGATCTGTTTCTGTTAGAACAAGCAGAGAGATATATATAGCGCATCGTAGTGTTACTTAAGGCCATCACACGTACAAAAATTTTAGTCGTAATCGTAAGGCCGTAAGCAAATCGGCCAATCACAGTCGAGCGTTTTTAAATGCGAGATCGTAATTTTGATTGTGATTAGTCGATTTACTTGCGACCTTACGATTACGACTAAAATTTTTGTATGTGTGATGGCCTTTAATGTCGTTGATTTCTAAAAAGAGATCCTTAGAAACAATTTGTATAAGCGATGAATGAGGCATATTAATTTCAGCACAGTTGTTATGCTTTTATATAAAAATACAAATATATAACAAATAAGTGTAAATGTTATAAGGCGGGACAAAATAGAACGTTAACATAGTTGCACGATTAAGATTGTGAAGCAAAGACGTATATATCTATATATTCAAAAGTTAACTTTCGCAGAGCTCAAGAAAGTTTTCATCACTTTTGAAGTAAATGAGAAACTGATAACTATTGGAAAAAATGACTTGGAGAATATATAAATGAGAAAAATATTCTCGAAACTGCGAGAGCGAGGCGGGAAGTTGAGCGAGGGGACATAAACGGATGAAAAAGGACGTGGAGATTTTATA